AATAATTAATATATTACTATCCATTTTTGTTCTCACATACTACATACTCAGACGTAATTTGTTAATATAATAATAGTCATTCTCTTTAGTGAATAGACACGGAAATTTGAACTTTTTAGTTTAAATCAATTCTACCGCATGTAAATCTCAAATTCAGTCAGATTTTCAGTTCATAATTATAAGTAATTATTATACTTATAGTAGGTATATTATAATATTTCAATAAGATAATTCAAAAAATTGATCTATTTAATTTAAGCCATCGATATTAATAGTTAATAATTATATTATAAAAATAAAGTTGTACACATTAATATATTTTTTTTTTGCTTCCCCCATCTAGTTATCAATTGAATTACATAAAATATTGAAGTATAATTGTAGGATACAATTATAGCGTATTATTATTTTCCTTGAATTAGTGTTGTTGTAGGTGTACATAATAAACAGTATATTATGTGGAATATTAATAGTTTTCTGAGTAAGTTCCGTCGACCCTCTCCGAAATACATATTGAACGTATTTAAATAAATCAGATTTATGAAGAGAAATATCAACATATTGAATATTATTGAACTTTACCTATTCCGGAACCCATTTGATAAAAGTTCTTTGGATACGCAGGGACCTATAATAGCCGCATAATGACATACCTACATTTAACTTCTAGGTACGGCGTAAACACTAGGATGACAAAACGTTCTTTCACAATTTAAACAATTCAAATCAATCGTATTTAACTGTATTTTAACGTCGTGCATGATAAAATCTGTGTACCTCGATCGTCGTATTCAAAAATAAATATTTTATATCGTGTTGAGTGTATAATAAAAATGTGCTATATTATAATGATAAATTGGTAACTAAACGATTCGATTACACAGCCTATTACATAATACATTAACTACTTTTTTATTTGTTTGAGAACCCGAATAAATTATTATAATTAGTTATATTGTATTATAGAATAAAATATGTCATTCAAAGTCACTTAATATATACTATGTAGTATTTAATGGAGGCCCTTATTCTTGCAGCTGTGGCTAATTTAAAAACACGATTTATTATAAGTGATTCAAAAATAGTTTTGTTCTAAAAAAAATAGGCGAAATTTTTAATTATTATTATGGACCAAACGAATACTTGCAGGGCCATATGCAGTTTATGCGACAGCGTTTTCGAATTATAGGTACTTAGTGATAACCAAGAAGGATATCACGATTTGGTCTACTTATAAACTAGTGTTATGAATTCTGTGTGCATTAAAAAAAAAAGAAGTTTAATTTTGGTATAATTGGAAATATTTTTGATAGGGTAAAATTTTGTGTTGGTTGTTGGATAGTTGAATATTATATTGTTTGAAATACATTTATAAAATTATTAAATAGAATCTCATTGTAACATTCAAGATATTATTTTACTCGAATTGAATCAGCCTTAGGATAAACTACTATTTTATGGACGTCAACGCAAATTAATTGAAAAAATCGTAATTAGATTTTTAATACTACGCAATACATATTATGTAGCTCCCGGAATAAATTATATAGATTACCATTTTAGTCTTTTACAGCATAAAAGTTGTTAAAATTCTTTCTACGATATTTGTATGGAATAAAACGTAATATTTTGTTGGAGAAGTTTAGATTTTTTTGTAATTTAAAATTTCAAACAACGGTAAAATATCCTAAATCTTTCAAATGGTTATGAAATATTGCTTGGTCCAAAATATATTATAATATAAAAAAAGGTCCTCTCTAGATACATCATACATGTAATAAATTCATTCAAAAACACATTCATTCGTTATTTTTGTTAACATCTTGGAATTAATATTGATTTCGTAAAAGTGTCACTATAGGTACTTCAAATTTGATTATAACTAATTGGGTATTTAGAATAAATTGCGAAACGTAGTCAAGTGTATAATTTTATCTGTGCATATAAGAACATATCTATTTTATTTTAAATATATTATGTTAAGCCTGTGACAAAGTTCAGGAATTGAAATTTAATATTTGTATAAGGAAAATGTATAAATATCTTGAATAATAAAATAAGTTTAATATATTATATTTAAACTAATTACGAAAAAAAGAAGACACGGCAGAGTGTCCGTCAGAATTATCACTATAATTTTCCAAGTATCAATTCTCAAAGCACTTCTGAAATGATTACAAAGAATATCGAGGATAAAAAACACTTATTTTTAATAACATGAAAAATGACTTGCAATTTATGAAATATTAAAATGTGTAAACTAATGAAGTTGAAGATCGGGTGATTTAAATTCATTAATGGTTGAATCTGATCCGTAATGTAGCAAGAAGAATATTTCAAATAGGGAATTTAGTGTTCGAGCTTTTTAAAAATCTTCTGTAAATTATATATTATATATTTATACGGTAAATTATGAAGACAAATTTGTGAATTGAGAATATAGTGTTTTGAGAATGTTACCTAAGGTGAAAAGTTTCTAATGATAAGGTTTTGGATTGCTTAAATATTTAGGTGAGCTTATAGATAAGCAGTATACACAAAAAGTTAAAAATTCAAGCCACCGCGCCGATTTAGTTATTACTTGAATGTTTAATAGATGTATTTAAATACTGGTGATGGCAAATGGGAATTGGAATTTAGTTTGAAAAGTGATTTTATTTCACGTTCATTTTGAAGATCAATATCAAAGTAAGTTATGGCATTTCCGTTCAAGTGGTAATAAAAAAAAATACAAATATAATTATAAATAATAATTTACACGTTTTTAGTATGATTTGTGTTATATAACCATACAGTTTAACTAGTATGCCTGTCGTTGAAACAAATGGGTTAGAAATATATTGTTAAATTTAAAAGCCATTATTGTCATATTTTAAAAACAATTCTGGACGAAATTACTTTTACAGCCTTTCCGTTAAAAAAAAAAAATTGCGGAGAACTTGTACATTTTTCAGAAATGATTTATTATTAACAACTATGGGCTCTATAAAGTGTGCTATGTTATATTGAAATTCTAAATCTCTGTGATAATAAATTTACTTTAATTTGAATGAAATGAGTGTAAATACGAGTAATAACAATTTATAATAATGTTTACTACTAGTTTCAATTGTATACTCGTGATGAATTTTTGATTAAAAAGGGTTTTCTAAAATAAATCTGAATTTATCGTCGGCCAACAACCAAAATCGATCGGAGTATAAAATATTCTCTCGTGTCATCTATGAGAAACGCCAAAGCTCTATTTTCGGCTTTTATTAATGTTCAAAATAATATTATCAATAATAAACAATAATAGTATTATAGTATTAGAAAATATCTTTACTCTAACTTTAAGGTACCTTTACGGCGTCTACTAATTTTCGTTGTGTCACGTTGCCAAACTCACCGCAGTTGCGTGGTAAGAATATCTTAAACTTGAGGGAAAATCATTTAATTACACCCACCCTATCGCGCGTATAGCTCAGTGATTGGACATCATTGGGTAGGACCGTGTGGGTAAGAGCTTAACTTAAATAAAACATGCGTGACCAAAGTTAATATGTAAGTAGGAATTAGTAAACACTAAGTGCCGTGTCAGTTTCCTCAACGAAATAATCGTGTATCATGTTATTGCGTCGCATGGTGGACAGTTTATTCACTTGATTGGGATGGATTTAGAAACATATTGAATGGGTTAAGTACACACAATCTGACATTCGGACGAGAGTGCACACTAAAATACCAAAATACGTTTCACAACATAGTAATATACCTATTGATTTCAATAAAAAAAATTTGATAAAATTAAATTAATAACAAGTAAATATTAAAATATTCGTACTAATTTCACGAAAAATAATTGTTTTATTAAGACTATAATAAACACGGTTTGTGATCTACTACACTAAAAGTTGCACCCAAAAAACGTACACTTACGACTTTGTCTCTAAAAAGGTCGATTGACAAAAACCGCACACTTTATCGGTTCACTGTACAGCAAAACACCGCACACTATTTTTAATCTACAGCCCAGATATATTCTGAACGTCGAAAACTTTTCCAAAGTTTACCAAAAGGTTTGATAGGAGCACTACATTTTATTTTAAATTATGATATTCTACCACTCAAAATGAAACAATTTTTTATGTTTACGAATAAGTTGAAATTCTTATTGTAACGTGTAAAAAGAATATAAAACTCTAATTTAACTTTTATGATGAGTACTTAGCTGATGGCAATTTATTTAATATTTGTTTTATTTAAATACATATATAAATAATTAATAATATATTTTACATTAAAAATATATACATTTTTAAGTAATTATACAATTATCGGCTTTTTAAGAATCTCAAAAAAGTGTGCGGTTTTGTCTCGTATTTTATTGTAAGTGTGTGGTTTTTGGATTCAACAACCATAATATTTGGTGTATTTTGCTTCTGTGGATCGTTAAGACATATACATTTTAATTTTAAAAAATAACATATTTTTAATAATTAGTATATTTGTCACGTTAAGCCTTACTTAATACCCTCTCCATAAATATAAAATAAGTATTTATGATTATAAGATGCCAGATTTATTATAATATAATTATGTATAGGTACACACATATCATATATATATTATATAAATTATCTAAAAATTACATATAATAATAATAGTATATAAAATTGTTTTATAAAATATTTTATACTATATGTTTGTAGTGTTACGTTATAAAGTACGTTTGTTAATAACCTTTTATAAATAGAAAAAAGAATAACTTTGAAGTCGATAATTTGATTTTCAACTATACTATTGACATGGTTAAACGAGAAAAAGAGTTTAGTACTAATGTGCTATTATAATAAAACGATGTGAGAGCAGTGATTTTTTATTTATGGAGGACAAAGAAATATGTTAAATATGTTATGAAGTGGTAATATTTTAATCTCGTTAAATGTTAGTACAGATGATAAAAAATGTATAATATTATGGAGGATTAAACGAAATATAAAAGTAGTATAATGGGATTGACTATAACGTTATGTAATGCGTGTGTGCCAGTGCATCAAATAGAATTTGTAAAGGATATGCACTCAGATGTGTTTTTAAATAGTACGAATTTTAATCATCTTAACTCAAAAATCTTTCGTCATTTCTGAGTTCATTATGTTTATGGTGTACTATTATTATCATTATTATTATTATTATTATATTATATATTATTCTAAAACCGTAATGTAATATGTAATTGTAGTTCAGGTACTAATATGTAATATGATCATCATAAAGAAAACCTAAGTATTGTTAGCGTGTTTCGCTTATGAGGACACACAAACGAATAACGATGCACATAAGAACTTTAAAATACCAAAATGTAATGCAATTGTTGAATAAATTACAGGTTACTTACCTTTACGACGTTGTTTTCATCACTATGTAAAAATGTGCAAACTGCATGTCTCATTATATTTAAACAGGTTGAATATCATACACATACCTACACTACAGGGATGGGCACTAATCATTTCACGAGGATTTTCATAATTTTTTTATAGTTCATTAAAAATACGTACATGAATACCTTGTGTTTTTAGTTTGTCCATCCCTGCGTGCAATTTAAGAAACATCCAAAGCTATATAGTACCGTCAAAGTATAATAAATAGGATTTAGGTGATGTGATATTTATGGTAAATTAGGGTTAAACACAAACTCGGGTAGAACAGGCACATGCAATGTCGGGGTAAATAAATACAAATGATAATAATAAACACAGAAGTGTTGTAAGGTTTGTTTTTTTTTCATAAAAAGTCGTGTATAATTTTAATAAACTGTTGTGTATAATTTTAATAAAAACGAATATTTTGTATTCTGTTTTTAAAATTCATTTATAGTGTATTATTATCTAGAAAAAAGGCCGTGGAAACAATAAAAACACATGCGGAAGCATAGGTTGAACAATAAAATTTAGTAATAAATATAGGTAATCAAATTAATAGTATAATAATAGTAGTAGTAATATTAATATTTATAATAATAATAGTAATAGTAATAATAATATTTACAAGTTCTATTATTCACGATTAAAATAAACACACAATGATTTATTGCGATCTCATTCACAGATCTGATTGACCACAGATAGAGTTTAAAAAAAAAACCAATAAATTAATATACAACCCGTACGAAAATACATCAACATGACACATGCTTGGTAACAACAACTATTGTAGGAACTTGGTAGTATTAAAATGAAATCATAATGTTATGAGCACATAAAAGAGGAAAACGTGGTTAATATAATTTAATAGACTTTTGAAATGTTTACCGGTGTAACATCAGTAGTAGTACGCCAAAAAGCGTTTCGTTTTCCAGGCCTCCATTTTATCCTGTAAATTATTTTTGTCGTTTGTTTGCACGCATGTAATGCGAACAATTTTTATAAGTACCTTAAACAAGTTTCTAGGGAAAATATTATTTTTCAATCAAACCTATAGAAGGAAAGTTATTTTGTTGAATTATGGGTTTTGAATTTAAATTGTCGTAGGCGTTTTATCAAGATATTATTTTAAATTACATTTTGGATTAGCGTCCTCTTGCCCACCGTAGAAGAGCGTCTGCCAGTATGTCCAGATGAGCTTTAGTCTGAAAAAAATTTAATTTTAAAAGTTTTAAAATTTTTAAAATATTTTATTTTTATGTAGCGATATAATGTTCTGACCCAGTATCCGTATAATAGATATTATTGCTTTCAATATAGGCACTAGAAATAGTTTTTCACAAAATAAAAGTTTGTGAAAAAAGCATGGCTATGAAATTTATTACGTTATTTCATTTATAAACTTTACTTAACTCTATACCTTAATTTAATATTATTGATCGAATATTTTCAATCCATGGGACTCATTGTATTTTTCTGCGAATAACATTTATTTATTGAAAAATAAAATTAAATAGTGTTTACAAATTGTTATTATTTGTAATTGGTATGTATAAATAGTTAAGTTATAGTAACCTGTAAAAGCTTGAATAAAAATATACCGAATATTTTTTTTATCTTAAAATTGAAGGGATTTGACAAAAACTCTTTTATTTAAACGTCCCTACTAGTACTTATTTTCTTTTATCTTGTAGAATGTTCAAAATTTACAACTTAAATAATAGGATAGGTAATTAAGTTACTTTAGCGTTAAAATGGAGCTTTCTTAAATTGATTAATGCGATAGTGTCTTACCATCTCTCTCCCAAAACAAATTGCATTCTATTAAGCTTGTAATTATTATTTATGTTCTTACTGTTTTGAAGAAGAAACAATTCTTTCTGTCTTCGTCGTCGCCATTTGGACAGTCTATGTATCCATCACACAGAACGTGATCGTCTATGCACCTGAACCGTCCTTCCTTGTCTGGAGTGGGACAAGCAAACCGTTCGAATCCATCTTCAGTGGGCGGACACTCTGAAATAACGAAATATTTTCATTTTTTTTGTAATTACATTCCTATGTTAGAATCGTTAAAAACTATCCTACAGCCATACTGGATTATCGAAAGGATTTTTAAGACGTTGAGAACTTTAAATATATCAACTGCTACATTACTACAATTTAATAATTTAATAAAATAATCTTCGACATTTCTCTTGAACTAAATTTGGTAAATTCTTAAGTATATCTATTATATAACTATATAACGCAATATACATTAAAGTATTTTACACATAATATAGTATTTCTGTTTTCTAAACTACAGTGTGAAAAGGTCAATTTATAATTTATATCCATTTTGTTTTGGTCTTATATTTTAATTTAGTCCCAAGGGTAGTGTTGTCTGTGGATACTTCTTTACTCGTTAAGGTCAAATCCCAGTTGTCACAGAAGTGTTATATTGTTTCACTGTACAGTACACACACACACACACACACACACACACACACACACACACACACACACACACACACACACACATATATAATTATAGAAAGTTTCAAGATATTTTCAGAATTTAAAATAATAAAGTACTAATTCTATTTAAAACATTATATTACTACAAGACCGATAATATTATTTGTTTACTTAACTATTATTATTTTTATGTGAAAAATATCAATAATATATTAAATACTAGTGGTTCAAATAATGTCAAACGTTATTTTTACTCGTAAATTATAAAAGAGTAAAGTGGGTACTTATATGTAATAGATTTACATTTATGTTTTTTAATTTTGTTGGAATTAAATTGAACTTTTGAAATCGTTAGATTCAGGATGGAAGGCAGTACCCACTTATAAGTTTAAATTCGTTATGGTTGTTTTGTAAATACAACCGTTTTTCGTAATATATTTGGGTTGTATTCAAATGATGCACGTATTCGACCACAATATTTTCGTCAAGAACGGTTTTTTGTTTCAAACTAAAGCTTTTGTATGCATAATACATTAGGCTACCTACGTCTTGAAATTTGCAACACAAACAAGTCAAAACAACAATACCTATACAGGTAGTGTTTATATTATGGGTTAGGCGGGTACAACAATGCACTAGCAACTAGAGCACATAACAACGTATGAAGACAATAATAATAAAATCAATAATCGGTCGGCATACCTATTTCGGGGATAGTCATCACGACAAGGGAAATAATAACTATAATTGGTCTCGTGTAAACGTTGCGTGGGTTTCGCGGTTTACGCGTGCGGCGGTACGACCGATCGACAATGTCGGGCAAAAATAAAAAGCGAACAATATTTGATTCCAATTCGGAGCTAATGGCGAACGCTCCGGGGCGATTTCGATCACGGTCTGATGCGGACGGACGGGAATCGCTAACCTCTGCAACATCGCGATAGTGACGACGGTGCACGGCAGTGACGGAGAGTCAACGCCGACGAGAGAACCGAACGGCCACGACCAATACCTGCCGAAAAGGTTCGAGTGGGCAAACGATTTATGTCCGAGTCTTACGAAATATATATTATATATACTGTCATTAGCGCTCGATTCACACCAAACGTTTAGTAACGGTTTAGCGGCAATTATATTACGGTCCTATATAATATACGATTGTATACTTACGCGTTGCGCCGGCTTAAACGTTTTGCGCTTTAACTATATTATAATACGGTGAGATGAGAAATTTTTTTTTTCCCCCGACGGAACCCCGGCACATGTTATTTCATTCGATTTTAGGGCGTTTGAGAGAGAGAAAAAACGACCGTTTTATATTTTATCATCGCCCGGACCGTCGTAATTAAAAAAAAAATATACGGGACCTTTTTCTCGTACCATGATGTTGCATCTTTCATATTATAATGATGTACCTATATCATAATATTTTATAGTTCGGCAAGGAAAGTAAATAGTGCCCTGCTGAATGGCGGCCACCTTTGCTACGACGAATAGCCAATAAAACGGTATAACGATACTTTATATTTTTTTCTTGCTATTTTTTTATTTTTATAATTTCAATTCCAATTCCAATTTATATTATTAGATAAGGTATCCAACAATCCACCCACACAAATTGATTCATTACATATAATTTAATGTAAAAAATAACCAAATTAGTGATCAATGTAAGATATAAAAAACTTTAAAACTATAATTGGATATTTTTATTCGCAGTACTCGATACACAAGAAACCACTGAATATGTTTGTTCCTTTATAAAGTTTTAATTTATAATAATTTAACGATTTATTATTAAAAAGGAAGAAAGTAGGTAACCAGTCTGCTGTACAGTAGATGTCAAGTGTGCATCGATATTGAGTGTTATCACGCTGTAATGTAAATGTTAAATTTAAATTTAATGATAAATTGTTGCATACAAAAAACTATTCTGAGGGAAATCGATCTATTAGCCTAAATTATTAAGTATTTATTCTAGAATAGTAAATCTTCGTAATTTTACTGAATTAAATACATATTAATTTATAGTTTTAAAATTACTGTAAAATTATATTGTATAGCTGTCATCCAGTATCACTGTAATACGTTATATAATCCATCAAACGGAACTCGGATATCTTATTCAACACAATTTGGCCAAATAAAAACTACATAAGGTATGTGAAGGTATTATTAAAATAATATTTTATAACGAACAACGTATCATCCCTAACAAAACAAATTGAGCAGTGAATATATATATGTTCCGAAAACGTCCACTGTTCATATAATTGGTTTAATATTAAATATCAACCAAATTAGGATAATTAAAAATTATTTTTGATAGATTATTTTCGGCTTAATTTTCATAATTATAAATTACTATGTATCATTATTCTTTTCACATTTAATGAGAGTTGTTTTGTTTTTAAATATATGTCTTATATTTGTAGCTTTACTAAAAGTAGTTTTTATTTCTATTGGACAAAAACGATTGTATTCAAGATTTAGTTTTCATATAGTTTTATTGTGGAGAGCAATCTTAGTTGTAAGGGGAGTATTAACGCAATGGATTCAAGTACATGTAATTCTAAGAATTGTCTTTCATTTTAGAAGGAGTATATGTTGAGAGTCGAGTGTGCTAAGGCCCTTTATACTTTTCATACTAAAGGTAGGATAATACGCGTACATCTCTTCAAAGCTTATAGTCCCGTGAAATGTGGCGGATTTTCCCCTGGGATTTAGCTTACCATAATACCAAGGATACCGTGTTTTTCTGTTTTATTTTCTTAACCAAATAGTAAATACCGTTATGTTAATCGTAAATAAATGCGCATTCCCTATACTTTTTACCTGTAACAATATGACTCCTGAACGTGGTGGGCGATAAGTATACACACCCATATACACAGGGTGATTCACTGAGCACGACCATCCCCGTTATTTTCACTAATGATGAATTTAATCAAATTCTTGTTCTTGAAATTTTTAAATACTCTTAAAAACCATATTTTGTAATATTTAGATGGTCACGATTAGATAAAAACTTCTGTTTTTTAAAGAAAACTCCCCTTTTTTACAGTCAATTATTAAGTGGATAATTTTTTTGGCAATGTTTATATATAATAGTTATACAAAAAAATATTGAGTAGCTGTAATATTGAATTTAGTATTTATTATACTTGGACCATGTTTACAAATTAGTACTTGTTCTAGATTATTAATACTAATTATTTAAATTTTCTAATCAATATAGCCACCATATTTTCCAAATTTCAGGGTTATAATATAATTATATAACTAAATAAGTTATGTAATTCAAAAGTACTGAATCAAATTTTGGTTTTGTTGAGTTAAGGTATTCAGAAAAATTATTCTTGATATAATTTGTAATAGAAAAGAGTGTTTCTCATTAAAAAAAACCGAAGTTCATATCTTCACAGGACTTGAGGATCAAGTAAAACAAAAAATCTCAAAAAATTAAAATACGGGTTTAAATATTTAAAAAATTTGAAAATTCTATTTTGAACGGCCATATTATTAAAGCAAAAAAAAGCTATGATCGTGCTTGGTGAATCACCCTGTATGTTTGTATAATATATTACTTAATATTTCTAAGTAATATCGTTGGTGAGTGATTAAATTCTGTTGTTGATTTCATGTGATTTTATTCATAACGTAAAGTACTACGATTTTTAAAGCTCCCTTTTTCATAATGAAAAAAAAAAACAGATAGTAAAAATAATAAAAAAAATATAACATTATACCCGGAAAGAACAGAAAAAAAAAACTCCAGCGGCTTATGCAAATACCTGTTGCCGCAATATGACATACCTAAACTCGCGTTTATTTGCTTTTAATTCCAATCGTAGAAATTATAATCCTGCCGAGCGTGACCGCGTGTATACTATGGCGATGAATGTGTTGGTCGCTAAACGAAATTATTAAAATATTCCCACCACCTACCAGCTAGTGAATAATCATGAAAAAAAAAACTGTTACGCAGTACCTGTGAAATATGTACCATACTATGTGCAGTGTACGCATACCATAAATATATTATTATTAAACTATGTACTCGTCGTTATCGATGCTCGCGTATCGACACAATAATAATACGTTTCAGTTGCGAACCGTCTTTCCCACCTAATGGCATAATTACAATATAATATTTAATTAATGTCCCGTTTAAATTACTATATAGCATTACTAACATCGCAGGTAAACATATTACAATGGTACATGTAACCCAACCTTATTCACACATGACACACCCACATACACACATGCATACAATTATTATTGTTACCTACTACAACTAAGTAGGTGTTTTGTGTTTGGAGACGACCCCTGCAGACTATAATAAGCACATTGATCTTTGGTGTTTATTCGTCACACGTCCATGTTGTCACTCGTCAACAATTCGCAACCGATTATTGATTATTGTGTAAACGAATTATTTGTTTGAACGCACGTGTGTGAGTTTACATTATTATACTAATTTGCGTTTTTGTTGTTCACAATATCGCAATGAAACAATTAAAATGTACATAGCACATTGGTATAAATTGTAT